ATTGTGTATCATAGTATTTAAAATTGTGATAATTTTGTCCTCTAGAAATGTACATATTTAATAATACAGTGCCAATTACATTATTATAACAATATAACACTTAGTGTGTATCTGCAAGCGAGCTTCAAACTTATTAATAGTATATTTTAGGTGCCTTTACAAATTTTGTTATTTTTCTACTAATTTCATTATTATCAGATTGCTCTTAGTAATGATAATTCAAACATTTTTCAATCTGTTTAAACTGTGGAAACTTAAAAAAGAATCCTAGCAAAATGCGGCAAAATACAATATATCTTTAAAGAAGATTACCATGTTGAGAGACTTTATAAAGCTGTTTAGATGATGCATTAAGGGATTTTGAATTTATCAATTTGATATAGTAGTTGTTTTGTTTCAAAGAGGGTTCAGGGACTTTTATCTCTTAAGCATTTTTTATTGGCTCCGTATTTGTTAAAATACTGAGTAAAATGTTTAAGTTACAGCAAATATAAAAAATATGGTTTGCTAACCAATGATTGCAGTATTTTAATGGACATAAATATACATTTTGAAATCAATAGGAATAGTCACAGGTAAAATAATGCTAGGTAAAATAAATGCCAGCTACAAAGTTATCAATTTCTTTTTTTAATTACTTTTTTGTATAGTATTTCAAATTTACTTTTGTTTAATAAATGTGAAATTTGAATATTATAGTCCGTCTAGAAAGTATCCGGAAAAAAGAAAGCAAAATTACAATTATCGATATATATTTTTAGGACTTCAGTTAAAAAAAGTATAACAAATTGTTAATTTTATTTACTGGCTTATTACTTACAACCTCCATTTAGCTCCAAACGCTTAACTAAACGTTCAGGTACACCCGAAACTAGGTCCACACCATAATGTTCAGTGGCGGTAGTCCAGGCCTGTAAACCTGAGCGAATAAAATCTTGTTTATTTTGTAGAGCTGCTCGTTCCACTTCAATCTTCATTAGTCCCCATACGTTTTCAATGCGACTAAGGTCTGGTGAAGCTGCTGGCTATGGAATTGTTGCCAAATGGTGTTCTTGCATCCAAGCTTGAGTATAGACGAATGGCATCTTGCATTATCCTGCTGAAAACGGCACCCATCTGGATATAAAACGTGAGACGTTTCAAGAAGAAAACCATTTAAAATATCACAATATTTTGCACTATTAACAGTTTCATCAACTATACACAGAGGTGTAGCACCAGGCTGAGATATTGCTCCCCAAACCATTATTTTAGTGGGAAATGTTGAAACTTGGACGATAACATTTTCGGTAACTTTTTCTCACCAAGCTGGAAACAATTTTCGTCAGAAATAAAAAATTATTAGAATTATCATCTTGAAAACGTTGACAAAATCCATTCTTCGCTGCTTTTGTAAAGGTGTTATTGCAGGGATTTTTTTGGCTCCCTTGATATGTAGCCTCGTCTTTTCAGTGACGTTCGGACGGTTTCTGGACACACTTTTAATTTTCGCTGTCTTCCAAATCTGTTAGCCAATTTGCGAAGCCCTAGGCGCGAATTCTGTCGTCCTAATGCCACTAAAGCGTTTAAATTGTTTTCGCGAATCTTACGTGGTCTTCCTGAAACTGGTCCATGCTTCATATCTGTGCCATTTTTTATCCTCTTTATTGTCTCATATACTGCATTTTTTACGAGTTCGGTCAATTGCACTAATTTTTTAACGTTTCGAATACCTTTTCTATACAAATATTCCACCATTTCTCTTTTTTTTTACTTGCGACATTATTTCTCAAATCTTAAGCCGGTTTACAATCAACAATATTTGATAGATGGTGTTGCCATGCGATTTTGGTTATAGTCTACTATCTTCTTTGCTGTACAAAATTGTAAGCTTGCTTTCATATACCATTCTGCTTTATCGATTTTCAAGTCGTATAAAATATTCATTTATACGTGTAAATTACACAGCTTTATTCTCTGTTTGGCGATTAACTAGATTATAGTGTAATTGTGAAATCGAGGCATTATTTTCCAAATCAATACACAATGTGTATTGGGGCTTTGAAATAAAGATATTTCTTTATATTCAAATATTTGCACTTAAATTTTTGCATTGATATTTGACATACAAAAGTCTTCAAATGTTCTGTCTAATTTTTCAGTTTTATCTTCAAAATATTTAACTAAATTTTGACAGATAATTGAAAGGAAATAATATATATATTATGTATATAATATAGTTATCCTTAAAATGTTTCGCACACAAGCAGGTGTACGGATATTAAAACTTTTTGCTGTTTTCACCTATAGCCCTGCTAAAACTGCGTAAATATTGATCCTTAAAATGTTTAAAGTTAATTTTTATTTGTGGAGCATTTTATATAATTTGAATACATAATTACTTTTTAATAATGTAATTACTCTGTTGAGTAGAAAGAGGCGTAACTGTAGTTAGAAAATTACCGAAGATTTAGTTCCTACCTGGATAATTGTTGATAAATTGATTAATAAGAGATAGAACTTCTCGTTTTCGTTGTTTCCATTCTTAGCAAACGCCTTTATATATGGCTGAACTGATTTCTTTAAAGTACAAGTAGCAACGAATATTCTGAGATTAATTCTGGTACAAAATGAAAATAAGGACGCTGGCGATTATGATCGAAAAAAAAACTGCGCCCAGTTGGCTAGGAAATGAACATTGATTCCCCATATAATTTTGCATTAAACTGATAGCTATCTTCATTGCATAGCCATCGCTAACGCTGTTTTTTTTTATTATACGGTTGTATATTACGTAATGAGGGTTGTAAAAAGTATAATATAAGTATATTACCATTGATTGAAAGATTTGGGAAGATACTCAACTTAATGGGCAAATTAGTGACAAGACTGATTTGATTTCCACTTCTGTCTCAAGTACTATATAGTAGAGCCTCTACTCGTTCTGCGGTCAACACATAAAACATTTTTTCTAATTCGGCTAGTGAAGATATAAGGTGTGGAACTGAAGGCGACAGTGTTGTCATATTAAAATGTATAATATCTGTAATATGTTTGACGAAAATATCTTTGGATGAGAAATCCGCGTTTATGTATTGAAAATTAATTCAAGTTAAATGTAGAATAAACAACAAAAATAAAAATTCTTTTATAGGTAGTGAATATTTCCTACGATCGACAAAAATTGGTTTTATATATATATATATATATATATATATATATATATATATATATATATATATATATATAATGGAATAATAAATTTCAGTTGCAGTTTTGGTATAATAAAATTAGGTGTTACACAGAACAAAGTAATAACACTAAATTCCACAATACACCATATATAACAGCATGATTACTTAATTTCCATATTAGCAGTTCAAGATATGAAATAGAAAGAGATTACATATATATATATATATATATATATATATATATATATATATATATATATATATATATATATATACGTAGGTTTTTTTTAACTAGTTACCCTTAAAATGTTTCGACTTTTCAAGTGGAGAAAGATACGTCAAAATATTTTTCAATACCGTATGATAGACAGTTATCCCGTGGTCTAAAAGGAATTTTTAAGAATGTCAATTATAAACTTGTGTATAGTGCTAATAATAAGTTACAACAATTATTAGGTAATCCAAAGGATAAAACACCTCTACTGGAAAGGTCTGGTATTTATGAAATTTCTGGCAAACTAGAAGATCAATATTAACTAGATTTAAAGAACATTTAGCTCAGATAAGATATGGTAGACCTGATAAATCTTGCGTTGCCGAACATATTGTTGATAAAGAACATTGTATAGATCTTAATAACTTAAAATTACTTAAACAAGTCTCAAATTACAGGCAATTAGATGCATATGAAAACATCAGAATTAATAAATGTAAAGATAGTATGAACAGAGACAACGGTCCAATTCCTTCAAGTTCTTTGTTCCTACTACTTTAGTGGCGGAAATCTAACTGTTACGCTCGGTGGGTTCTGACTCGGCTGGCTAGATCTTGCCACGCCTACTCTGTGCCCACTGAGCGAGTATATAAACACTCCAATTGTAGATTGTATTTTAGTTTATAATCATCTGCTGATGATGCTAACATGGTTAGCGAAACGCGCGTTCAGTGTAAAAGTAAAAGTGTTTTGGTGTATTGTGGTGATTTAGAGTTTTATATAAATTGTTTAATGGTCCGTATTATTAACGTACCCATGCAAAATCCGTAAATCTACGGATTAATATGTAGTTCTGGCAACATTTCCGACAACCACCCACTCTGTTGACTGAAAGCAGAACTACGGTACAGTATTCTTTATCCGCTGCGCTGTAAACGATTAGCGCGCAGCGGCTAAACTAAATCTCGGAGAAGTTGACTAGCGGCGACGCGACGGTATCGCCGGCTACATCTCAGACAGGTTTTGTGCCACAAAATTGCTCATAAGGTCGTCGCTCACGCGTCTTCTTATTTCTTCAATCAACGGTCAAACATATTACAAATATTACACATTTTAATACGGCAACACTGTCGCTTTCAGATTCACACCGTCTTCGATATTCTTTCGTTGGCCGAATAAGAGAAAATGAGTGTTTTGTGCGTCGGCCGCAGAATGAGTAGTGGCTCTACCGTACAGCACTTGAGGCGTAAGGGGAAATCAAATCAGTCTTGTCACGAATTTGCCCATTAGGTTGCGTATCTTCCCAATTCTTTCAATCAACAGTACTATACTTTACCTAGGACCACATACTAGATCATTTCAAAGGATTTTTGAATTCGACTATTGCTAAGATATCTAGCGATAGTTGTAAAATTGTAAGATGTATTTTCCCGCAAGTTCTGCTTATGTACTGTAGGTAAGCTATTTAATGCACTGGTAGATTGAGTATTTTCGTCTGTTTTACATAGTGGTCATAAGTAAAGAAACTCGATTTTTACTGTACAGATTTATAGATTACATTTTTTTTATAATTTTAGTAATTTTTGCAAGTAACTAACATATACGTATTCCAGGTAGTCTACGTTCTATCGTCATGTGGTAGCGTGTGTACAAGGTAACATGCATTTAGTTATTTATAGAATAGTTTCATTTATTATAATATGGATTCTAGACGACCCATGTATATTGTGTTAAAAGTGTTACTTAGATTCTTTATAACTATTTAGACAGCTCTACAATATGGTAATAACATGTTTCATATTATTTTGTTGAAAAATCTATGGTAAATGCAGGCCTATTTTGGAAAATTGTTTATGGTTTAGCTATTTAACATGGTGGAATAAATATATTTTTCCATGGACCCAAACCTTCCACTAGTATCACTGAAAGGCACTTGAAAAAAGTGACTTGAAAAAAATGTCATAGTCAAAGGCATAGTTTTCTAAAAATGTTAAAATTACGAAAAAATTATAGTGTCTTCTTCAAAAGCGACTATATCTAACAAAAATGAAGCTATTCAGATGAACCAAAAAATAATCTGTCTAAAAAAGATGCACCTAGATGATAACATTTTATTATTTGATTTTTAAATTCCTTGCTTTGTTATCATATACCACAAGTTGCTTCAAACTTTCACCAAAATATCAGAATACAATTTATTTTACACTAAGTAATAAAACAATAACGATAAAACACTTAAAGAACTATTTACAAACTTATTTACAACTATTTATTCAGAAGGAATTTATTTTAAAAGGCACGAGCACGACTACCGACTCCGATTGTTTCTGTCCCTTGCGCACCGACCTCGGCTTATATACAGTGCGACAGGGAGTCCAGAATGTTCTGGGTGATTCTTAGCTGCTGTTTCAGTCTTTTCTATCGTTTCGTCGTCGCGTGTTCTCTGTCGTTCCGGAAGTTCATATGGGGGCCGTGCATATAGAATGTAGAATGTTTAGGAGGGAAGTTAATCACCGCGACCTTACAGATCTATTGTGTGTTTCCCTTTCTTGAGTTATAACGAGTTATAAATCATACAGTCTCAAGGCTTTAACCAAAAACAGTATCTGAGACGGCTCCACAGAGGCCAGCTTTCCATCCTCGACATCAGCCGTACCAAATTTCATGGCACGAATAGTCGTCGTCTCGGCGCACTCAGTGATAAGGTGTTCTGGTGTTTCCCCATTTTCCCCACAGAATCTGCATTCGTCGTTATTTCTCAGCTTCAGCCTACTGAGGTGTTCGTTGAGGAGACAGTGTCCTGTTAGAAACCCCGTGACAATTCGAAGATTGTTTTTACTTAAATCAAGGGAAACCTTTGATTTTTCTCGGTCGTAAGTTCTGAGGAACTTTTTCGAGTGTCTTGACCGTTGGTGGACACCCATTTCAAGTTACGGATGGAGTCTTCCAGATTCTTCAGTTCTGCTTTCAGTTGGTTCCCGTTTGGAAAACAGAACGGTTTTGGTCCAGTTAGTGGAGTGTTCGGTCCTTTCCTAGCTAGATCATTTACTGTTTCATTGCCTTCTATCCCTTGGTGTTGCAGGCATCCAGAGTAGGAGGACTTTATTTTCTTTGCCTAATTTGTTGAGCTTCTCTAGGCATTCTTTGACCAACTTTGAATTGATGGTTACTGAGTTGATGATCGCGTTTAGTGCTGCTTGACTATCGGATAGGATGGCAATTTTCTGTTTTCGATAGTTCCTATCAAACTTCGCTTTCTGGTGAAGTTTTAAAAACTTGAAAAGAATCTATCTAGATGGAAAGGAAATTCTGCCATCACAGGAAGTGAAATATCTGGGAATAACCCTGGATAGTAAACTTCTCTGGAACAGGCATATTAAGAACATTACCAGCAAAGCCACAAAGGCTCTCATGATATGCAGAAGGCTGGCGGTGCATATAAGAGCGGGACTGATTTCGCCACAGTATAGAGAATAAATGACACAAACAACAAATTTCACAACGTTTCAGGATCGATTGATCTCAGTCATTCCAGATCGCTCGGTCAATCAGTCATCCGTAACACAATATTATCCAAAAAACTCTTACTTCACTTTACATTTGGATGCTACGAAGTTAGCTGGATCAGCTAGTAGGTATTTCACATAATCTAAAATACTAAAATGTAGTTCTAATTTTTGGTCAGAGACATTTGTAGATTGTGGATTGTATGGGAGGGGGAAAGTTAATCACCGTGACCTTGCAGATCTATTGTGCCCCCTTTTCTTGAGTTATAACTCATCATACGGGGGCTCTAACATCACATCGCTCTAACAAAAGCGAGTATCTGAAACGGTTTTACAGATGTTAGTTCTCCATCTCCGATATCAGTCGTACCAAAGTTTATGGCACGGATGGTTGTCATCTTGGCATACTTAGTGATGAGGTGTTCTGGTATTTCCCCATTTTCCCTACATAGTCTGCATTTGCCGTTGTTTCTTAGCTTATGTCTATGAGTAGACAGTGTCTTGTTAAATACCTCGTGAAAATCCGAAGATTGCTCTTACTTAAAGGATTAATCTTTGATTTTTCTCGTTCGTACGTCCTGAGAAATTTCTTCGGGCGTCTTAGACCGTTAGAGGTACACCAATTCACATCAAAATCTAATAGACAATTTCTTCCACCAGTTTTGTTTCGTTTTTTAAAAAATACATGCAATAAAGAAGTTAATGATATAAGTATTTCTTAAAGTAGGTAGCGTTGTTGGGAAAGCTGCTTCGGTAAAAATAGGTTCGCATCTTTTATTTATTTCCCCATCGTAAATGGGCTATAAACTGTATCGACTATGCAATTCGATGAAATAGACGACTGACACGCTACCCAAGACCTGCCGTCGAACGGTTACCGTTTAGCTTACCTACATGAAATTTTATATAAACTTTGGGTATCTGCCAATATAAAGATCTAATTTTACGTTGTCCGAGGAAAGAAATACGACTTTCAATTAAAAACAAACTGTTTCGTAAATAATATCGAGTTTGGGGAAGTAGCGCCTTCTAGTTGGTCGATATCCAATATCGACCATCGGTATTGTAGTCATTTTAACTTCTTACTTTCTAGATTTCGATCCACTGGGCTCATTTGCGCGAACTCTCTTTCGTCCTCTCTTGTATAGAGAGACTGTATCCAACCAGTGCTTTAGGGTATATACAGGGTGCTCCGAACTGTACTCCGGAAACGTCGGCAACATATTCTGCAGATAAAAATAATTAAAAAAGTTCCTATAAAAGTATGTCCTAAAATGCTTAGTTTCGGAGATACAGATATAGGAGATATTTGGATGAAAATTGGTGTCTGGGAGTTTTTTGACATGAGAAATTTTATTTTGGTGTCAATATGACTCCTACTTGTAGATGACGCCACCTGCATATGTTTTAACTGGTTTGAAGAGTAATAACTTTTCGTCCGTACCTGTATAAAACTACTGAGTAAAAAATATACATTTACAACGTTTTTTACGTAAAAAAGGGCTTCTGGTAAAAATCGCTACCAGTAATGGTTTGCGAGATATTTGGAACAGAAATTATCAATACCTGTCATCAGTATCTCGGAAATTAAACATGTTCGGTCGGAAATTAAACATGTTGACTAAATAGTTATTAGACTGAAATCATAAATTTTAAATGTTTGTAAAATCGGTATTTTTGGGGCTTACTCAACCGGGTCTCACAATGCAAATTCACCTCAAATATCCATTTAGTTGGTCATTGGCAAGCACTCTCTCATTGTACATGAAAATAACAAAACAAACATTTACTGATCTGGATAAAATTGATAGTTAAATAGTAAGACTCACCCGGGGGTACTCCGCCCCCTAGCCACTGACATCACTGACATTCTATTCAATATATCCCATTCCATATCTTCCATCTAATTCAAATATTATTCGGATCTATTGGTTAAAAATCTTCAACAACTAGCTAGTCACCTGAAATAGTATAGGGCTTCCCCGGACGCAATTCTGCCGCTAAACAGATTCGCATCCCAATCGAATAAGCTATTTGGGTGGCTCACCATCCCAACGCCGCATCGTCAATCGAGAAGACATTATGGAGACCTCAAACTCTCAAGACCAACTCGAAGGCAAGACGTCACAGAGGTTTTCTTACCGTGGTCAAACGACCCCGTTGGCTTACAGTCAAACGACTTGCAACTATATTAGTCAAAAGACTCGCAACCTCCATTTGTCAGCTCTCTGACAAAACACAACGCTACACAGCCGGCCGGCCTATCAACAACTGACTGACCTGCCGCCTGCCGACCTAAGCCTCCTCTTACATCACAATTTTACCTGATCACAAATATTTACATCGCTTGCCAATGAATCATACTGTTTTCTCTAATCGACTTTCAAATAGAGTGTTTTAGCATTACCAAATAAATAAATAGAGAGTTTTCGAAGGAATGCATATTGTTTATTAGACTTAGAATAGTGAATAAATAAAAGCATTATTATGACGAACTTATTTTCCAAGTTTTACATGTTTTTGTGCCAAAAGTTTAACAGAAACTGTTTTATCATCATTTTTTTCGAAGAAAAATTTATGATTAATTTAAAAAACCATAAAAAGTTCCCAAATTTATTATTTCAGTCAAATAACTATTTACTCATCTTTTATTAGCCGACCATACAACAGTTATGGCAGGCTATTAAGATCGGCAAAAAAAAGTTTTTTTTAATTTCACTCAAAATGAGTTATTTGGGTCATAAATGACCTGAATACAAAATATTTTCATGGTGTCTGTCTGTCTCTCCGTCTGTCCGTCTGTAACTCGATAACTCAAAAACCGCTAAACCGATTTTAACCAAATTTGGCACAAAAATACTGTGGCACACGAGAATCTGGCGATTAGTTTTTGGTGGTGATGGGGGGTGGGTAAGGAGGTATGGAAGGGAGTTAAAAATTTTAAAAAATCGTAACTCCAAAATTACAGTAGCTAGGGAAACGCGGTTTTCAATTTAAGATTAGGAATAATATTTGCAACAAAATTTGTAATAACATCAAAATCAGTCGCAGTTTTTGAGATAAAAAAATTGGAAAAATTCCTTTACTTTGAAACTAAAAGAACTGCCTACCAACTTTTTATTAACATATTTTAGTATCGGCGGCTATA